CGGGGCAGCGGGGGGAGCTCCGGGGCTCGGCTGCACCCAAGGTGCTTGGCAGTCAGGGCTGGGGCTGCCTCTCCCCGCCGGCCATCGGCGTTGTGTGGCGGGGAGGGCCGCCTCGGGACCGGGCACCGACGGCCAGTGACGCTGTTCGCTTTTGCTAATGGCTGGGGGTTTGGTTGTGGTGAGGTTTTTAGCAACAAAGAGTTAAATCCAAACTTTCTTTTCCCTTTTTGTTTCTTTTGTTGGTTTTGGTGTTTGGTTGGGTTTTTTCCCCCCTTTCGAGATTTCTGAAATGGAGCCAGAATGGTATAAACCCCAAGCCACGTTAAAAGTTCAGGCATGGGGGTTTTTCTCCGACGGGACTTGTCTGCAAGAGGTGAAGGGGAACTTGTAGGTCTGTCCGAGCTGTGCAGATCACTGAGGAATCAGGGGTTCCCCCGTCCTCCCCACTCCCGCTTCTCTCTTTCTCTTTTGAAGTTTTCTTTTCTGCCCTGAAAGGGAGAGGATGATTTGAAGGGGGGCAGTCAAGAGGGGAAGGCATTTTCCAAACGTGAGTTTGTGGTGGAGGGAGCTCACTCTCTCAGCAGGATTTAGTCTCTACTCACTTTAAAACGTAGAAAAAAAATCCCATATAGCAAATACTAAGGGAAGAAAGGCAGTGAAGTAAGAACCTGTGAAGACTGGAGTCCCCTTGAAACTCAGGTTCACCCAAAGCTTTAGCAAAGTGTTTTGCTTCTCTCTCCAACGGTTATAGGATGTGCATCACAAGGCTACAGCATAAATAATCAGATTCCATTCCATTTTGCATCTCTCTCTAACAGAGTTGAGATTAAAAGCCAAAATTCGAGCACAGCCCTTACAGATCAGTTGAATAGTACCAGTGCATATGTTTCCAACTCACATGTTGAAAACTGTACCTTCAAACTTAGGCTTGTTTCTGATAGCTTGCATTTCTTCAACTACAAGGGGAAAAAAGATAAACAGAACTTTTCTGAACTTTTCCTATTGCGCCCATCCATGGAGGGAAAAGATAGTATTACATCAGCTCTATACCTTCAACACCAGCAGGGAAGGTTTAGCAAGAAAAGCTCACTGGTATACCACAGTGGAAATCTTTATGTTAGACTTGGGACAGTTCAAACCAATTTGACACCAGCACTGAGCACCACAAAGTACTTGGTTTGGGAACAAACTCCTCTGCGGTAGTGTGAAGTGAATTGTCGCTTGATGCCAGATGCATGGTTACTCCAAATGTCCCCTCTCTGCCTTTCTTGTAAGGCTCATGGTACACAGGAGAGTTTCTACCCACAGAGACAGTGCTTTTATATCAGACCACTGTGCCTTGCTCCCCAAAGTCCAGACCTGGGGGCTCAGCAGAACTATTTTTTCTCAAAAGGAAAAGGGGGAAAATGGATTAGAAAAAGGGAACCAGATGGGGACTGTTACCCTTACTGGTAGTAGGCCTGCTCTTAAAAAACAATGTCAAGGCACTGTAATAGCATGTGAAATGACAAAGATAGATGCTATTTCTTCCTGAGGTCCACACTGAGTGGAGAAAGTCAAAGGGTTGTTGACTGTCTTGCGTATGGGGCCATTCTTTCAAATTGAAATGAATTGATTTAAAAAAGCAAGGACTGGCTAATGGGGAACCTGGTATGGCTGCTATATTTATGTGCATCAAACTGAAATTTAAACAATTTGAGGGAACATGAGCTGTATAAACATTTTATGTATAGTAACATTTTGTTAGTAGTTTTGGAAATGCTTGATGCTACTTCCCTGTCACCGCTCCATATAGCTGACTATACAGCATTCAGTTCACGCTACAGTCGAGCAGGAACTGTTTGCTCAACAACTCCAGGCTCCACTTTCAACTGGAGTACTAATGTACACCCTGAGCTGGCCACAAAAAAACAGGTAGCCTGATGTTTTTAGACCACTTCACCAACCAGGTAGATAAAATACATAAAGTAAGTCCATAGTTGTAAGGGAGCTGTGGACTAGAGGGTCTTCTGAAAGGTTGGTTTGCTTGTTTGGATTTTTCCTGCCTCTGTGTGAGTGCAGTGAGGAGCTTCTGAAGCTGAGTTTGGGCTCATCTCTTCACCTCCCCTCCACGTTCAAGACACTGCAAATATTTACTAAGTACAAAAGATATAAGAAGTGCTGGGCATTAATCATTATTATATCCCTTTCCTGACAGGAAATGGGCCCAGAATAGCAGAGCTGAAATTAATCTTTCTAAAAAAAAAATGAGTTTGTAAAGAATTGTTCTGGAGTAACATACATTTCGTTCGACTCCTGGAACTCTCATTCAAAACAGAGGTCTGTCTGCCCAAGTGGGACATTTCTCAGAGAACTGTAATAGATATTTGTTCCAGCATCCACACTAAAGCTACAGACCACATGTAAGGTGCAAAGCTCTAGATTTGTTTCTCTCTCACACACATATGCATCCTCACAAACATGCAAATCTACACTCCTTTCTCTTCCTAAAACAAAAAAAAACATTTTTATGTTTTGTCTATTTTATGCAGATCCATAATCAGATGTGTACCAAGATTTTTAACTCAGTTTGCTGAAATTGCTAGATTGTCGAGGAAATTAAACTAAACAAGGAGATGTGTAAAATGTTGAACTTTAAATGCCATCCACTAACTCGAGAAGAAGAAAAATGAGTCAATAAACACTCAGGTTTCTGCTAATTTTAGATAATCATGATTAAAAGAATAATTTTGTTAGATTTTTTAATTTTAATTTTTTTTTTATCATGATGAGAATCCCCTTATGCTGTAATAGTGGGTATTTGAAGGTAATGCCCTTTCCCTTTTGATTTGGGACTGAAGAACAGGGTTACGGTGTCTCCCCTTGGTGTTAATGATGGATACAGAGACGTTTAATCTTTCAAGCGGTATGTGTATTTCTGTGAATACTAGGCGAGATGACAATATCATTGTCAGCAGCTCAGAAGAGGCATGTTTTACCTGAAGAACTGGTCTTGGGCTGGATGCTGCTGCTGTTCTGGGTTTGGGGTTTGTTTTTTAATTGCCCTGCCTATTCTCTCAAGTCCATATTAATGCCATACGGCACGGCTGAGGCCAGGGCTGAGTGAGCCCCGTCATTAACAATAGCATAAACAAAGGAAGGGGACCAGTTACCTTGACATTCGATGCCCGCTTTGTTCCCGAGCTTCCAACTGCATCCTGAAGCTCATATAGGGAAGTATCGCCTACGGGAATGCATAATCCACTCCAGCTATTGTCCCAATCTCCTGGAAAACAAAACAACAGAACCAAAACAAAGATGACAACACACCCCCTATCCGCAAGGAGCCTGCGAATGGTTTCATCCCCTCCTGCTTTTCCCCGCGCTTTTCCTGGCCACTCGTGTTACTGACCCGCTCCCCACAAGCGCTGCCCGCTGTAGCCCAGAGGCGTATCCCAGTTTGCGCAAGCACCCCCCAGCCTCCTATTCCCCAGTTTCTAGAGGGAATGGGTCTGGAGACATCCCCTCTGTGCTCTGAAGGGGAGTAAGGGGGATGAGCGCTCCTGTGCCTGCGCAGCCCAGCCGTGTCCCTCCAGAGACTGGGCCGCACCCGGGGGATTCCGCGTTAGACAGGGCGGCCCGGCGGGGTGAGCTGCCCTCCGACCGCCCCAGCCCTGCCCGCCCCCCCTGGCCTGTCAGCAGGCGGGAGGGTTTCACCCCCTCCCGGTGGCACGGCGTGGCCAAGGGGCAGCGCGACATCCCCATGCACCACCGCGGGGATGCGAGGGAGGCGGAGGGCGAACGTGTCCCTGTGTGTGTGTGTGTGTGTGTCTTCATTGTCCTTCCAGCTTCGCCCTACCGGAACGGTTTTCCCCGCGGAGGGGCCCTCTCGGCCTTACCTTCCATGCCTAGCAGCTCCTGCTCTGTAGCCCCCTGTTTTGGCAGAAAAGCCCGGAGCACCCCCCTTGCTCACGCACAGCCGAAGAAGCCTGCCTGGAGCGGGAACATCTCTTTCCTCTGCCAAAATAATTAAGTCCCCCAAACCGAGTTTCATCTTCCCCTTTCTCCTACGGTCCTATGCTGACCGTCGGAGCAGAGGGACGAAGAGACACCCTCCCCCCCAAGTATGCAGGGGTTGGTTTGACCCCATCCTTTCCCGCTTCAGGGGTAGCTTTTGCTCCCGCTGCACTCGGAGGGGAGCAAGTTCAAGCCCTGGGAACCCTGCACCTTCACCTGTGTCTTCGGGAGAAGATGAAGTAGACCTAGTGGCATAGCCTGAGGTAGAGGGGAGGCCTGAGGAGACAGATCCCAGATGCCGCCAAATCCATCCTCGCAATGTGCCTGTATGTGGGGAGAGGGGAGGCTTACAGGGGTAGTGAAGGAGGTAGTTTGAACCTAAAGCCTTTGCTTCAAAGGTTAAGAGCTCCCTCGTCAAAGGCTGCCAAACGTTACTGGGCCGAAGAGAGGGGAGAAGGGGGGCGGGGGAAGAACATCGACATTACTGCAATTTTCAAAGCACTGAAAATAGCTCTGGGAAATCCCGAGGATCCGCCACCGATTCTTTTTTTTTCCCGGGACATATGCATTAGGGAAAGCTTTTCCCGGATGTGTTTGTGATCAAGGCCAGCGGGAGCTGCGGCTGCCTTTGGGGTGGAGGGGAGGGGAGCTGCGGGCCGGGGCTGCCCCCGACTCCCCCCCATCTCCCGCACCTGCAGCCTCTGGCTGCGCTGGGGACCCTGCTGCTACCGGCTCTGTGACCACCTCCCAGGCCGTGTTGGGAGCAAACCCACTCCCAAATCCTCCCCTCACCCCGGCCCCCGGGCCGTGCTCCCGCCGGGAGCCGCGGCGACCGGGCAGGGGCCGGTCCCGGCAGCCCTTTATGCGCAGCGGTCAGCAGCCGGCTTGTGGGTTTGCAGCTGCATGCAAATAAATCCCTGGCAATAATCTAACGCGCGTGTGCTGCCCCGACGACAAAGTGCCGACACAAACGCAAGTGCTTTTGTTTGTTTTTGACCATCTAGGTCCCGCAACCAAGAGAAACAAATAAAACTAGGGAGGGAGAGGGAGAAAGTTGATTAATATGTATGTTCCATCCAACGCATCGTGCTTTTGTGATTTACGAGAGCCGAAGATTTGTCTCCTGCACCTCTACGAGATCTGCACAAGCACCCATCCCAGCTGAAGGAAACGATTCCACGCGTGATGAGCAGGAACGACGTGTCCTGCCTACCCGACCGCCCACTGCACCTTAGTTACTATGTTCCCACGTGGAAAACACATCTCTTTCCTCAATTTTCAATTAATTACAGCTGTATTAGATACGGGACCAGTGTGTGCGTGTGCGTGTGTGTGAAATTTTGTACCCTCTCTTCTGTTGAAGGTAGAAGTTTTTTTGTTTGTTTTACTTCTCTCCAAAAAAGGTCTGTTTGCATGTATAGGGGTTGGGTTGTTTGGTTTTTTCCTTGTCCTTTTGTCTTAAGCAAAAGCTGAGTTTTTGGGATGGGATGAAGGGAGAAAAAAAGAGAGAGAGAAAGGAAGGGCATCTTTGAGAAGGAGCTGGAGTGGGAAAAGGAAAAAAATAAATCAAACAGCAAAAAAATCCCAGCAACCCAATTCCAGAGAGAAAGGGTGGGCATAGAGGTTTTCCAATTGCCATTCTGCAGACTGGCATTAAAAACAAACAAAGAAACAAAACAAAACAAAATACACATTGAAGGCTGGATCGGGGGAGAGCTTTACTTTTGTGAAGTGTAAGTTTCTGAGGACAAGAAATTCTTGGTGACGTCTAGCGTCCCCCGGGACAGGCTCGTCCCCCCGGGGCCGCCGGAGACCGAGGGGCAGGCAAGGCGCGAGTGCGGCGCCCAGCCTGGGGAGAACTGCTGGCTCTCCCTCTCTCCTGCCCCTAACTTTGTGAAAGAAGGTCGTTATCGTTGTGGAAAAGATCGTTTCCCCGGCAAGAGAGGGGCAGCTGGGCTCCAGCCCCTCCCTACTACCAGCTCCCACTGAGGGTGTGAGCAGTCGGTGCGCGTACCCCAGCTCCGACGGGTCGACCCCCGTCTTTGCCCGGTCCACCTGAGGCAGTCCCACTCCACTTTCGCATTCCACCCCTCGTGGAGGGGATACTCCCCTGCAGCCGCCGCACTGGGCAAACAGGGGCAGCCCTGCGACCAGCTGGCCAAACGGCGGCCCTGGGGCCTCCCCCCTGCACATTGCCCGCGGGGTCTTTCCCAGACTTTGCCCTACTCTCTCAACTCCTCTCCCTGGCCTTACTCTTCCCCAGCTTTCCCAGCCGCCGCCCCGCTGAGCCCGGCACTCCTACCACCTAGGTCTCGCCGGCGGCGGGGCAGCCGGAGAGTGGCAGGGCAGGGAATGACCATCCCCTTTGGCATCTCTCGGCTGCCTGCCTGCCCGTCCTGTTTTTTCCTGCCCTTAGCCCTGCGACCGCCGCTCTGGCATCCCTGGCACGCATAGAGCACGGCCCAGCTGCCTCTTGTCCCGTCGGGGGCCTTTTTTCTTCTCTCCCCCCATACCTTCCTGGGCACGGGCTGCAGCCACCCCCCCCCCTCCCGCGAGAGGGCTCTGCGGAGCCCTTCAGCCTCGCTGCCGACCGCTGCCTCCTCGTCTCCGTCGGCAACACAAAAGCCCTGAGCAAAGCGGCCAAGCAAAGATGGCACAGCAAAGCCGGTGCCCTCCCTGCAATGCCAACTCCAAAGAGGAAACTTCCCTCCGGGGCTGCGCTCCTAAGCCCGGGACTCCCTTAACCTTTGCAGCTTTCGGTGGGAGAAGGAGGTGTTTGTCACCCAAGTTTCCTCTCGTACCTTTGTGTCACGCGAGGCGGGACAACGTTGCGCCTGTTTCGCAAGCCAAAAGGAAACTTCTGAGCGATGGGCTCGGTGCCATGGGATGGGAAGGGTCTCCGGATCACCCCCCTGCCCTACACCCCATACACAACCTCCTCGCCTCTCTCTTTGAAACTGTGTTTAAAACAACAGCTGAAACACAATTAATTGTAACTGATTAACATGGATTAGTTTGGCCTTCAAAGCACTTTAAGTCAATTCAGCAGCCATAATAATAATTAATTCATTAATAAGTACTATTGGTGCTTCACCGCTAACGCCAAGAAAAGTTTCCCTGAGAAGTACAGGTGGCAGAGAGTGCTAAAATGAAAACATTCGCATGCAACTTTTTAACCAGAAGGGAAAGCACTTTGGTTATATTTGGAGACATGTGTCTCACACATTTCCCCCGTTTTTTGTAAACTATGTAAGAATAAACATTACAGCTCTGGGCTTTTAATTTCTCCAGATGGAACCATAAAGTACCTAGTAGATTTTTTTATATATATATACTATACAATTGAGGACACATGTCTGCTTTTCCCGATGAGGACCGAGAAGCAACTTAATTTGAAGGCATAACTACTGAACCACATTTTGAATAGCACTCTCGAACAAGTTCACTTTAAAAGGCAGGAAACCGCTAAGAGCACAGCACTGAAAGTTGCTCCTTCCCACTTGAGCTCGCCCGCCTGACCTTCACATACACTTTGTCGTTTCGCACACACTTACAGAAGTACACACGCGCGGAGGTGGCAGGGTGCCTAGCCATGGAGGGGGCTTTTCCAAGGCGGTCGCATCCCCGAGAGGCTCCCCCAGCTCGCTGCAGGCTGAAGAGGCCGCTCGGGATCCCACCTTCGGCGCGACGGAGGAGCCCTCTGATCCTCGGGTGACGTGAGAGGTCTCCTCCTGCCCACCCCGGCTGAAGTAAGGGATTCACTTACCCTCTCGGTGCTCCTCTCCGCTCCTCACACAGACACTTGTGCGCCCAGAAAAGCGCTTTCGTGAAGGGCAAAAGGAGGGAGGGAGCCTCGAACCCCCACCGCTCGGCTACCTTAGGGTTACAGGCGTGCTGAGGGGGAGGCAGGAACCCCTAGGCTGGACGACAAATAATAATAATAAAAAAGTATTTAATAAGTCCAAGGATAAGATTTCTTGCTTAATTGTTTATTTTTTGTTTGGTTGGTTTTGGGAACGGACGTTGGTGATTGGAATGACCGAAATACCTTACACATCTCCCTAACTAGACTTAGCCTCCCTCCTCCTTCTCCCAGCCCCCCAACCCCCTCCCCCCCATTCTGACTTACATGTGTTTAGAGCAATGGCAAGGAGCTCCCAACTGGAGCCCTGGCAGAGGGTGCGTTTAAACTAGGATGATTTAGTCCCCGAGAGCTCGGGTCCTGACTGTGAGCCTCCAGCCCCGCGTCAGCTGGGCGCTGCAGACAAACAGTCTTAAATATGCATAACGAACAGTTCGCTTTCTTAAAGGAGAACTTACCCCACTGGAAAGTTCATGGCCTGACGGCAGGCACGGGAGCGGCGTGCGGGGGTGACCTTTGTGCGGGGGGACAGCCCTAACCCCTTCTCAAGGTGGTCTCCTTACACGCTCAGCGACAGGGCTGAGGGCACCCGGCCGCCTTTTGGCTGGGGACTGGGGGAAGAAGCGTTGGCGGGTCAGTCATGGGCTTAGTGAGTTGCGGACCAGCGGCTTCACACACCGCCCCAGTCCCTCCTGTCCTCTGTGTGCGAGGGGCCGAGCCGCGCACTTGGAGCAGCCCCGCTCCGGCGGACCCCGCAGCAGCCACAGACCGGCTGCCCGAAAACTTGCGGGGTTCTACAAAGGGGGGAAACGCGGGACTCCAAACAAGAATAAAAAGTGTCTAGGGGGAAGGAGAGGGACTGATTAAATACCCAGCCAGTAGAGCCCAGGCAGGCTGTGGAGATTCCATGAGCGGCTTTTTGGAAAGGAGAAATAACGCGGGGGAAGGGACGAGAGACTGCCCGTGGATTTCGCCCAGCTTCCCGGTTGGAAACCGGCCGGCCCCCTCTCCCCGGCCCTTGCAGGATCTTCTCCCGGTAGGAGGGACGGCTACGCCAGGCCCTCACTAGCCCACTTGCCCCTGGTTTTGCCCTGGGGGGCCCCCAGGGGCCGAGCCCCGACAGCCGCCGTGAGGGTGCAGGCGGCTCCGGGCGCTACCCACGGAAAAGGGGCATCCCTCTGCGGGGCTGGCTCCCCCCGTTTCGGACAATAAGAGTGGTTTTTTAAAAGTACTATTCTTTTTTCCTCCCCTCCACACACGTGGTTGTAAAGTCTGTAGCGCCATCTAACGGGAGGCGGAGGCCGGGCCGGGCCGCGGCGCCCAGGGCAGAGGAGAGAGGGGCTGGGGCGGGATCGCCTTGGGAAGTGCCCCTGGCACGAGGAAGGGCGCTGATCCTGTGCATAAAACCTGCCCGAAAGGTGCTTTGTAACCCGACCAGGGCATTATCCTTCAGGAGCTTCCCCCAACTTCTGCGGTGTTTTTTTTTATTTATTATGTCGTTGTAGCTGTGAAGAACTGGTAGAGTAACTGGTTTTTTTGGGAGGGGGGCAGGGTAGGGAGGAGGAATGAATAAATCCCATCAGAGCCTGACACAGTTGGGGATGGAAAGGAGGAGGCTCTCTCAACCCAGCACATTTGACTCTTTCCCTTTTTTGGGAGGTCAGAGAGGGCCCCAGACAGCTGCTGCATCTTACAGGCCTCAAATTTCTGCTGCTTCTTTAGTATCCCAGAAAGCTTTCTGTTTCCAAAATTTTTGAGCACATGCTAAATTTTATGGTTAAATTATGATGCTGCCCTTTTGACAGAGCACTTCAGCCATGCCTCTGTCCATATCCAGATGGGAGGCTTCTGGCTTGATCGCCCCAGTTCTGTTTAAGCACTGCGTTAGTTGCCCAAATAGAAGCCTGCTCACCCCAGGCCCATGGCATGAACAACCAAAAGAAACAGAGACTCTCCTTGACATTTGGGCTCATATAAGATCACAGCTAATCTCTACAGGTGCCTGCCTTGCTACAGCTCTTGCCACCTGTAAGGACTCAAGTTAGAATTAGAGAATATAGGTACTTCTGCTGAACAGGATAGAAATTTTTCTTTAGGTTTGAAATTTTTCTTTATTCTGCTTCTGTATTTCTGTTACAGGTACAGAATACAAGCTAAGTCTTCAAATACACATACCATTTTACTGTATTTACTTAGGTCTTCTGTACATACATGTTGGCAGGAGTCCCAAAGAAGCACAGAAATCTTTCTGTCCATGCTTGAAGTCGTAAAATGGTAGTGTAGCCTTCGGCTAGAAACAATTGTATTTTCATGGGCCACTCAAACTGGATGTATTTTTCAGCCCAGGTTGTCCAACGCCCTTAGATGTCACTTCTGCATGTGGCAAATCCTGTGTGACTTAGATGGCCAGGTTTACATTTGCCCAAGGGATTTTGGCAGATTAAGTATCTGAGTGCCACTGACGTCCATTCACATTATAAAAATTAAACAGAATGCCATCACTGAACTGGTTTTATGGAATAGAAATGTTGATGTGCATATCCACAGAGAGGAACAGACTTTCCTTTTTGAGTCTGGAAATGCTCCTCTTAATCAACGATTGAGAGGAAGGGCAATTTCTGTCTACGCTGAAAAGAAAATGCATTTTTGGGTTCATGGGCAGTAGAAAACCTCTAATAGTCAGGCTAGGATATCTCAGAGTAGGCATGAAAAATGAGACACAGTCCAGTTCATTAGCTATCTATGAAGAGTTAGGCTAGAGAGGTTTATGGATAGTTCCAGTGAAGAATTTACATGTCTTAAAAGTTAGTTGTCTCAGTACTTAACTTTCAAGTGCCTTTCCCTAAGATTGGCATCCTTGATGTTGTGTTTGGCAATACTGTGAATTGAGAAGGTGCGTACAGACAAATCTTTTGTGC